GAAAGGAGGAGGAGGAGGAGGAGGAGGAGGAGGAGGAGGAGAAGAAGAAAAGGAGTAAAGGAGGAGGAGGAGAGGAGAAGAAGACGAAAGGAGGAGGAGGAGGAGGAGAGGAAGAAGGAGAAGAAGAGGAAGGAAGGAGGTGGACGCGGATTCACCACGATGGCTACAGCAGCTTGACGGGCAGCGAAGATGGGGAGGGCTGCTCGACGGGGCAGCTCGACGGGGAGTGACGACGGCAGCTCGACGAAGACGGGCGGGCTTCGAGACGGCGCAGCAGCGACGATGGGCGGGCTTTGAGACGGCAGCGACAGCGGGCGGGCTTCGTGACGGCAGCGAAGTGGGGAATACCGTGCTCGAATTCGAACGCGGCGTCCTAGGCGATCGGGGGGGTGGAACGAGGTCATTTGTTGGCGGCTGATCGCAACGTAGTCCGAAAACACGAGGAACTTACGTAGAAGGCCTTCCCGCCGCCTGACCTTCCTCCGAAAATGGAGATGTGAAGTTTCGAAGTGCTCCTGGGGGCCGGGGAGGCTGCCACTGGCCGAAAAAGGCCTCCCCCCCCACCCATGCGAAATTGCGCTGGCCCCGCCTGGCGCCAAACTGGGGGACCCAACCGGCCTGGCCGCCCGGGACCCCTGCCGGACGAAGGCTGGGTCCGCTGGGCGGCCCGGATTTTAACACAGTTTTTTCTGACTTTTTCAATGATTTTGATTAAGAAACAGAAATAAAGAAACAGGACCCTATGGACCTGGCTGCATATCCATTCTCGGGGCCATCAGTCCGGTTCCTTTTCGACTGGCGAGTCAAAAATTCAAAATAAAATTTAATAAAAAAATACAACGTATGACACATCCACACTTCCTTTTGTTCACTTCAAAGGAACCCTGGGCGGCAGCGATTGCTCCGTTCACGGAGGATTGGCTGTCAGGTAGCCTTGGCCTTCCTAAATTTCGCTGTGTCTTGATCTTGCTGGAACTTTTAGATTGGCTCAAAACCGAGAAAGAAGATCCAGTCCTTGACTAGGCTCTCTTTATTGTTGTCCAATGCTGCTGCCTCGGGTCTCTCAGAGTTGTGCCAATGCTCCAATTTAAGTTGGGAGTTCTTCAAGCTTCACCAATTTGCCTTTAAGAAGCCAGATGTTTTGGGAATTAGTCTTGCTTCTCTGTTCTTCGTCTGGGTGAGCCTGTATAAAGCGTTTTGTCTTTCTCAGCTTGCATCTGATCGCTGGTTTTCGATGAATTCTCTAGTAGCCGTTCATATCTTCTCTCGTGGATTCCTGGAGTTGCAGAAAGTGATTACTGCAGCGCTCCTTAGAAACTGCCCATGATGTCACTTTCCTGACCATTCCATACCATAATCCTTTAGACTTGGTGAGGTGGGGTGGAAGGTTAGCCCAGAGTGGGAGCTGGAGAGGTGGTCAAGGGGAAGGCAAATGGAAGAGGTGTGGCCATGGATCATCTGTCCTTGGCCAATGCGCGGTGGCTTTCTCGCATCTGACAAAGCAGTCATTAAGGTTTTCTTGTTATCCATTTGAGCAGATTGCTCATTTTTCTGTGCTGTTAGGGTCGTTGATTTTTTTATCCTTGTGCGAGTCAGTGATTGACAGGGAGAGCTGCATACGTGACTAACCATTGAAGACTTCTGATTTTGATCGGCCTTATCGTTTTGTGCTTTTTCGAGGGTTTTTTTATGATTGAGCCCGGGGTGTCCCCTAATTCCCTTGTCCATCTTTGTATTGTGGGCATTGGGTCTTTCATATCCGCCATATCCATTGGCTGGGGTCAAATCCTAGCTCACGGAGAGGCGCTGGGGGTTTAATGAATATCTGTGGAGATACCCCCGGACCCTTTTGAAGAAGGAAGGAATTCGTAACTTTATAGTGGTTTCATATTGGCCCCCGTTCATAACCTATGGTGTTTCGTTTTGGTCGTAGATAAGTGGGAAGGACAACCTATGGAAACTGCCATGTGATCTGATGCAACTTGCTGGTGGTTAAATCCGTATGCTCTTTCTGGAACTGACTTCTGAATCAGAGGCCCCTCCATCTATGCGGTCTCCAGACTCTCCACACTATTAAGATCGGTTCATCCTCGCAGAGGAAGGGTGCCCTGTTCCGTGGAACGGGGTACCGGGAGCGTTTGGTGGACAATGGTTGGTTAAGGGTTCTTTTTTGGTTAAGCATATATGGAATATGGGAGGGGGCGCGTTGGTGAGGGGAAGAGGAACTAGCGAATCACTTGTACAAACAAGTTGCTAGGTCCCAGAGGTTGCATGCCCTGCAAGAGGCCATTCCGCAACATGGAGTGGAACTCTCGAACGGGATGGGAGGTTTGGGGGGGCAATGGATGCACCTGGGCACAGGTGCCGGATGTCTTTTAGGTGACTGAGGTTTTTGGGGAGCAACGCTACAAGGTGCACATATGGCCAATGACCAGCTATGTAAATTGGGAGCGCCACTTAAAAAGGCTGACACACCGGTAGTGGAATTGGAGGAGGGGATTTACTCGGTGGCTGTGCTTCAGGACAAAGGGCATCCCCACCCGCTGATCCTGCGACCGTTCAAAGTGGGAATGCCAGCACAGGACCTGTGGTTTGACCCGCGAAACTGGTTGCGTCTGCCACGGGAGCCTGCGTACGAGCAGACAATTCCATCAAATTACTACAAAGATTCTGGATCTTACACAGCTGCCGTCGTAAGTGTCAGTGGATAGCAGAGGAGGAACTGCGCACCTGGGATGAGCGGGACTGGCAAGTTTTTTTGGCCATTTGCAAACGCTCCCTGATCAGAGGCAGGCGAGCTTGTTGTGGCCCATAATCCATGTGGCTGTGCCTGTCCACAATGAGCCGGTACACTGAGACAGAGTGCCCATTATGTGGGACTGGTGTGGGAACAGTTCCACCTATTTCTCACTTGCCCTCGACATGTCAGGTTTTGACAAGAATGGGAGGAGGAGGTGGTGAGGTGGAAGCTCGTTGTCAAGGAGGAGATGCCCGGGTGGTGGAGACAGTGCAATCGGCCCTGCTATGGGAAATACAGTGTAGTTGGAATGAAGAGATGCGTCGTGGCCTCCCCTGCTCTACGGCCAAAACCATGGCATATGTCAAAGAGAACCTTAAGGCATCCAGACAGGCGGACTGTGGTAAGGATGCCCATATGCTTGGCCTAGCCGCGAGGTGCCAGGGGACACCTTTTCACTGTACCTGGGGTCTGTATCGCGCCTTGGTTACGATAGGTAGGCAGATGGACCATCTGCAGTTTGGACCGTTCCTCAACGATCGAACGGGTTTTGAATGGGTGGGGATCCTATGTAGGACGTGCACCAAGGATTGTAGAAGGATAGGAGGTAGGATAGAATGGAAATAGTTATAAGGTAGGAAGGTGAGAGATAGATGCTAATCGGAAGGGGTAATAAGGGGAAAGCAACGGTACAAGAGCAGATTGGAGCAGATAAGAGTGGCTGTAGTAAGGTATTGAGTGGAGGAGATAAGAATGAAGCGAGGAAAGAGGTAGTAGGGGGGGTGTGAGAAGGGGTAGCTAGAGAGCCCCTATACTCCAACCCCAACCCCCCCAAAGCCCCCCCCCCATCCCCAAAAGTTTCTCAGCGGATTTGGGCTGTACTCAGCAAGTGCAGTACAGCCCCCAACTCAGATTTGAAAACAAATCAGTGGATGGTTGTTTTCTGACTGGCCGGCAGACCGCCGACCGGTCGGCCCTACTGGTCGGCTGCAATACGGTCGGCGGTCAGGGTCGGAGGTTGGCAGGGGTGCAACCCTGCTTACAGGTGATAAGCAACCGGACTGCCGCCCCCCAGAATAGATGGGGCTATGTCTGGGTCGGCGGTCGGGGTCGGAGGCTGGCAGGGATGCAACCCTGCTTACCGGTAATAAGCAACCGGACTGCTGCCCCCCAGAATAGATGGGGCTATGTGTGAGTTGTGTGCAAGGATTGTTTTTATGAAAAATATAATTGATAATAATGTAAGAAACCTAAGATCCGGGCCCTCGGCCTTTTGGCTAAGATTCAAGTGTAGTATCTGTTCCGATCACTTTAATGTCGGATCTGTGGTCCATTGGCCCACAACGATATCAAATTATTTTTTCTGGCCCATGGAGGGGTCAAATGGGCAAACTTGCCTACTTGACCTTTCCAGTGTCACCTCTGTATTGCACTGCAGTACAGTGTGGCGCAGCCCTCAAAAAAAAAAAAAAAAAAGCATCCGGAACGTCTTCGGTCCTGAAGTCCCACAACCAGGATAGTCACAACAATGTAACAAATTTTGGATCTCGGCTGTCGGGTCGTACCAGACGGACGGACAGGATTGTCACGTTGATGTAACTTTTTTTTTTTTTTTTTTTTTTTTTTAGGCCCCAGCGTCGAAGCGATGTTTTGGGTGTATTGCATGAGGGGGAGGTGCTGAGTATGATCAAGGAGGAATATGTCAAAAGCGATTTGGGTGTATTGGCAAAATGGGACAATAATGGACGATTGGGTAAAACATACGCCATCCCGAAATATAAGGACGTGGGTAGGTGGCAACCGATCTGCCCTTCGTTTTCCAAGGGCAGTGTGAGTGGGTGCAGGAAGGTTTCACGAGTGATCAATCTGATGGTATGGGAGTTGCCCACGCGTTCGAATTTTAACCTCAAAAGTACTGATCTGTTGGTGAGCTCCTTGGAAAAGATCAACAAGGACTTGAGGAAAGGAGAACGGTTGTTGACGCCGGCTTTCGATGTGAAGGAGATGTCCTGTAATCTCCCGCACTCTTCGATTGGGAGGGCTCTGAATTGGTTGATTGAGTTTTGGGAGGAACGAGACATGGAGAGTGTCCTGTTAAGAAATAGGGGTAAGACAGTGAAGTTCGTGAAAGGGAAGGGCCAAGAGGGTTGGCAGAGGGTGGGTTTCGAGGTAATCAGAGATTTTGTTCATTTTGATCTGCGGTGTACCTTTTTCTTTGCAGGTGGTAGGGTTCAACAAAAAATGGGGATTCCTATGGGTAAACCATCTAGCCCTGCCATTGCACGTCTGCTGTGCGTATGTTCTGAATTCGCCTTTCTTAAATCCTTGGGGAATGATCGGAGACTTATTCATGGGGTTAGTCTAATTGATGACGTTTCCCTTTTTGTCTCGTACTGTGAGGGGGAGGCTGCCTCTATGGAGAAAGCACAGTCTATTCTGGTAAAGTTTGAGGGTTGTTACGACCAAAACTTTGTCCTTAGAGTGCACAAGCCGCTCTGATTGTTGGAATTTTCTTGACTGCCTAGTTAAAGTGCTTGATTGGCCTATCGGAGTCAAGTGTGCTGCGATACACAAGAACCAGAATTTCATCCTTGGCCAGGGGGTAGTCTTTCAGAATCTCCAAGATAATTGCTCTTACATTGGTAGACAACAGAAGATGGCAGTTGTTAGTTCATTTTTGCATAGGGCAAAGCGTTTTACAAGTTTGCTCGCTGCGGAGGCCGCCTTCCTACTGGCCTTGAAAGTGGAACTGAGGCTGAGGGGGTTCAATGATGATATTTTTGACGAGTGTTTGAGGACGTTTTCTTTGAAGCACGGTGGGGTTTGGGAGGACTGGGCTCGATTTTTACTGGTTGGGATAAACTTTTCCCGAACATATGGAAGGTTCACTATTGAGGAAGGTAGTCTGGGTTTATTCTGCTCGGGCAGGCATGTGCAAGGAAGATGAGCAATAGCGAACTCCAGAACGCAAACAGCATCATACATAAATTACCAGATAGCCATGACCTCGAACCATAAGCAGAATGGCATCACGAGTTTCACCCAATAAGAACACAGCAATAGTTCGTGATTGACAATGCTGAAGTTGTCTCCCATCATCATCAACAAAGAACAAGAGTTGATATCCTACTGGCGCTCGGCGCCCAGACCACAAGATGGCAGGTCCTATCTAGCCTACTACTACAATGCCGAAGTTGACGTCAACAGCTTCACCGAAGTACGAGCATATGCGGCCAATGCCGCTCGTCTCAAGCRCCAGGTATGTCTCCCACTTTGCTCTCAACCCTGATTATTACCACACAGATGCCTCTAGCACCCAAGGACCACCCATCGCCCCACCTAGCAAACAGCAGGCAGCGTGGCTATGGCTGCCTGCTTCTTCCTCACTCGCCCGTGAGTGCGAGGGCGCCAGCCAGCAAATAGCGCAGCAGTGCTGTCGCAGCATGCAGCCAGCACCCGAATCCCGAATAAGGAGGCTGGCCCTTGCCTATATCCCSGTGGCCTGCCTGCGTCCAGTCCAAGAAGCTTCCAGTAGGCCCCGGTAGCCTGAGGCCCAGTCACGAGGAATACAGGCAGTGGGCCTGAAGTAGTTACTTGTGCCCAACTGCTTTCGGCCTGTGCTTGGCCCGGTACCCGTACCCAGCCCAGGGCCTGCTTTACATTCATTCACATGGGCGGCCCAGGGCCTGAGTTCATTCAACCAACTGATGCTGTGCAACTGCCTGAATTTCCCCATTTGCGGGGGTACCCTGAAAGTGAGGCCCTGAGGGCCTGTCGTGCCTGCCTTCACTTAGGGCGACCGACCTTGTTGCAAATAAGGCCCGTAAGGCTMAGCGGGCATAGCCTCGCATTCCCTCCTCCATATCTTCGTTAGTCCTCTGAGAAGATCAGTCTGCCGCCAGCTGGCGCTTTCCTTTCAAAACATCCCTCTCATAGCGGGCAACGATCTGAGGGGCGGTCTGCATCAAYTCTTCCCGAGTAAACCAGCGGTCCTCCTTCGGATTTGTATGATKTCTGAAGTGGACACGGAACTGCAGCTTTGGCTTGGGAGGACGTCCTCTTCCTGGAGGCTTCTGAACGGGTATCTCTTTATGATCGACGATATCATCGATGTCGACCTCTCCATCCATGGTTGGGGGCAACATAGAACGGCGAGTAGGAAACTGATCGGTCTGCYCAAAAGCAGCRAGCTTGGAGGCGTGAAAYACAGGGTAGGTGCGCAGGTGACCAGGGATACGGATGACATAGGATGGCCCATCTGGATCTGTCCCAACTATGTCCAAGACCTCCCAAGGTCCAAAGTACTGAGGCATGAGTTTGCGAGATRTCCCAAACTCTTGTCCAAGTTCAGAGGACTTGACCCAGACTCTGTCCCCAACCTGAAATGCAGAAGGGCGGCGATGTTTATTTTYGGACTCAATCATTGCAGACTGTGCCTTCTGCATGTGTTCTACAGCGTCCTGCATCTTCTGTTCATAACGAWAGGCAAACTCTAGAGTGCCGGGCGCAGTGTCTGACTGATTATCAGGTAGTAGAAAGTCTAAGGGCAATCTAGGCTTAAAYGTTAGTTGCAGGCTGTTAGGACTCACCCCCGTAGCACTATGTACAGCATTGTTATACAGACTGGCAACTAAAGCAAGCTTTTCGTCCCAATCCACCTGGTTAGGCTTGATGTAGTGCCTCAACAGGTGCTGCACAGTGCGGTTCATCTGCTCCGCCTGGCCATTAGCTTCTGGATGGCTTCCAGAAGTCATCTGYAGTTGRGTTCCCTGYTCAGCTGCAGCGGCTTTCCACAGTTCACTAGTAAACCGTACGTCTCTGTCACTAACAAWAGACTTTGGTAATCCAAAGTCTCTGACCCAGTTCTCCTTAAATAGTTTGATCACGTACTCGGTCTTTGCTGTTTCCGGCATGGCTATTAATCTAGCATACTTACTAAATCTATCCACGATGACGAAGATCTGTCTCATTCCACTCTTGCTAGTGATCAGCGTATCCATGAAGTCCATAGACAAGCTTTCACCTGGCCTTTCCGGAATCGGAAGGGGCTTAAGCAGCCCAAGAGGAGCTTGAGTACGGGGCTTGTCC